GGAGACATATATTTGGATCTACAATTGTTCTCTGAGGTCGCAATTGAGGGTGATTCTCAACATTCTGGAAATAATTTAGATTCGTTTTTTCCTGCACCTTCTTTTAGTCAGTGGACTTGCAATGCTGTGGTTCAATTTCCTAGGGTAGATGCTGTGGATGGCCCAATGTTGCTTTGTTTTAATAAAAAGTTACCTCACAAAATGATGTCCCAATCAATGATAATCAACACAGTCTTTAACTGACCTACAAAAAATCAAAAAGTAGGCCACTTCAGTATAAGCTGCCTTGGATTTGTTTTCTGCTGTTGGTTCTTTGAGTGTGTGATGTTTTGGGCTTTTTCCCGGTTCCTTTCGAGCCTGCACTTTACTTGATTGCTGAAAGGTCTGGGAGCAAAGTTTTCTTCTCAGTTACATGAAGGGAAAATTATGCCTTATCCGACATATAGTCGGAAATTCGTGATTCAGCCTCCCATCACCAAGTGGAAGCATTTTCTGGCTCTCAAATCACCTGCTCCTCAAATTTTGGGGTTCTAAGGCAGAGTTTGTAGTTAACGTGAATAGATCAATGTCCTCTGCTGGGAAAGGGTAAGTCTATGAATTTGATGGAAGACTCTCAGGATCACCAACTTCATTAATGATGAGCTGCATCCATTGTTAGCATTGTATATTGGTTAAATTTTTGGCTTTGCTATCCCTTCCTGTTGTCGTTGGAGGCTTGATTGCACTGACTCATACAGGGGGGTCATAGTTCCTCCCCTATTCATGGGTCCTGACCCCTGATATTAGCCCCTCAGTAACTTGGCACCCAGAATAGATTCTGTCTATATCCAAGGGTTCCCCCCTGTTGGGTTGGATTTCTTGTGGTGTTGTTGATTCAACATTCAGTATTCAGTATTTGTGGGGGCTCAGCTCCATGAATTTCTGGACATGTGGTAGCCTTAACCATGGAACCAGGAGCACTACAGGTCCTTGAGTCAACATTAGTCATTCAGTTCACATCGTCACCACTGTTATCCACCCAACTTGTAGGTTTTGCATCTTCTGCACATCATCGGGATTTGGAACTATGTTTTAGGGCTCTCAGAGTTTGGTTGGTCTGAGGTAGTGACAGTGTCGTGCTAGTTATTCTGAGGTTTTATTTCTGTCTGTTGTTGGGCCTATGAAGACAGGAAATGAGTATCTAATCATCGATATATCTCGTTTATATCAATGCCTAGATTGTTCAAGGCTCACAAGTTACTCATTTTTCAATGTGATTGATTTTTTTTACTGGGATTGTAGATGTACAAGTTTGTAGTTGGCTCCTATCTGCACTTTGTCATATTGGGGGAATCACAACACTGTCGGCGTTTGTTGTGTACAAGGGTCAGATTCTGCAGTTGAACTTCAGAATTGCATTGGTTCAATATGGTTTTGGCCATATTGTACGAGATTTTTCTCGTCACCTCCATTTCATTGTACTGAGCACACACACAATTTCATGGACAAGTGGATTCTGTAATTCTCGTCAATTGTTAGAACATCACATCTTGATTCTACTTTCAGAAACAACCAAGGCAGGCTTCCTTTTCAGGGCTGAGGCTTCTATTCTTTCTCCAGTTCAATATGTCATCAGTCTGGATATTTTTTTATTTTTCATTTTGTCTCTCAATTGGACTCAGCTGACTCCCATCCAGCTTAATGCTATGGAATAAGATGCACTCACCTCTCCTTCTCCCACTGCACAGATGGTTTTATCTTCTGGGAATGTGAGCATCACTCGAATCCCTCATGTCTTTTGGAAGAGAGCACATGAGATCATAAATCATTGATTCACAGGTTTCCCCAATTTCCTTCATCAGGATCATTCTTCAATCTCAAGGGGTTGTTCAGTCAGAACAATTCTAGTGCCACATCATCCAGAGTTCTATCTCATACGAACGCCTTGCTTCAAGAATGGGGTACATATACCAAAAGTCAGGAAATCCCTACACAATGTTTTAGTCCTTGTTGTTCTTCAACAAGCAATGCCTCATGGTCTGGGCTTATTAAGAGGAAAATTGTCAGGCTTCACTCTAACAATTCTGTGGTGATGTCTTGTGCTTCTCATCAAGGAGGCACTTGGTCCAGGTTACCATATTTTCAAATTTTGGACCACCTCTCTTGGGATCATTCCTATCTTATCACCCTACTGGCTTGCCATGTTCCACATGTGATGCCTGTGGTAGCAGGTCAGTTGTGTCAATTGAAACAGATTATCCCAAGAGAACAGATGCTGCATCACTAGGCTTTGTTGGATTGGCTCTCATTTTCTAACTCTGATTGGTGGGTTGGCTTCTCATTGGATAACCCAACTACTGGTCATTTGTTCTCCAGTAACTCATCTTCAGGCTTTTGCAGTAGATGCCTTCTGTCAGGATGGGATGAGATTCCAACTCTAAGCCTTCTCTCCAATTCATATGTTACCCAGGATACTCAATATGATTTGTTCCAACCCACTGTCAGGTTCTGTTGATAGCACCAGTTTGACTACTACACCCTGGTTTCTGTGGTACCTTCTGGAGCATCAACCTCTTCCACTTCTTCTTAGGCTATCTCTGTGGAGGTGGCCATGATTTGATATGGTACACTCAGCTATCAGATGCTGCAGCTTCAGGCATAAAATTTAAGCTGTCTTTCACACAGCATATGGATTTCATTACTAAGGTTGACTTGTATCTGTCTCAGTTTTTACAATGGTTTATTGAGAGGATGTTGAACACATTTTGATCAGAAGTGCCAACCTTACTTTGATTTTTAACCTGACTCTTTTGCAGAGGTTTTTTGCATCTTCCACATTCGCCATGTTTCAGGTGGCCTTGTTGACTACTGTTTGATTATCGTGACTACATATTTTTTGAGTCTCCAATACTCTAGATTCCTCAAGTTGCTTTGGGTCCTTGGTCCCAAATGACCATTCCTGTTACCTAACAGGTTTATTAAGGTTACATTACTTGTTCTTTCTTAACACCTGTTTGTGACCTGACTCTTATATGCCATGTATCCCCTTTACCTGATGATTTGTGCTGTTTGTCTACAGACCACGTTCTTCTTCTCTCTCAGACCAATCTTACTCAAGACACTGTCCAACAGGATAGGGGTTAAATCCTTTTCACCAATTCATCTGACTTTTTTATTCTGGGCTCTCTTTGAAGGAGAGGAATCTTCTGTGAGTCACGT